CTTCGCTGGAGAATATATAATTAGGTTAACCGAAATAGATGAAACAGAATGTTAAGATGCATTATGGGAAGGTGATTTGTCAGGAAGATAAGGTCATTGTGCATGCTTTGACCTCTTCAAAGACAATAAATATATATATAATGATTTTCGGAATCATGTATGTTTAAATCTGTCTACTTTTGAACAGTTTTTTGTGAAAAACCATGACTTTGGGCGACTTTCATTTTGGTATAATGAATGAACATTTGTCTATGGTTGCCAAATCCTCTGATCACCGGTATTTTTCTGTCGTTTAGAAGCTGTCTGTAAAGACTGCTTTTATTCATTTAATCAAAACGGAACTAAAGTGTACACATGCGTGTAAATTAAGTAATATTAATAAATTATAGTACATGTAGTACTTTACTTAAAATAGCAATTTCTTTCTACTTGAAAAAACCCTCCATGATCCGCAACAATGTCACATTTGACAACCCCTTACATACAAATACATTGTATTAATGTTCATAAACATCAACACTGTATGCAATTCACACATGTGTACGTTTGCTTGGATCGATCCAACATGTCTGTACCAAGCTAAAGACTGTTTACATCAAGTAACATATCGATGCAGCATATCTGTGCCAAATTTAAGGTAAGATTGTATCCTACGCCCAGTTTATTACTGATATCACCCGTCAACAGAGGACGCAGACATGTTCGATCGATCCAAACAAACACTTCATACAGAGATCCAAATTATCGTCTGGCGTACAAAATTTTAATCAGGATATCTATATGAGTTTATCTATACATATATATAGTGAATTTTTGCGTGAACCCCTGAGGGTTCACGCATATATTTTAGTTAGAAATATAGTCTATGGAGGAATATTCGGAAGCTAAATTATTGTTCATTCGGAACACCTATTCATCTTATCTGTATTAACTTCCTGCAATTAAGAGCACCTCCATACGGTGTATCTAAGATATTTAAAACATGGCAATAAAGAATGTTCACAGATCGCTAATTCACATATCTGATATATGATAATAAACAATCTATAGATCCTTTTCAAACATGTATATTTATTGTAAAGCTACATTTTATGCATTGCAAGGGTTTACTGACTTGAGCAAAGTTGACAGTTGTACCCTTTGATAAACAAGTGAAAGTTAAATGGTCAAGATTTAATTATAACGACCTACGGTATCAAACATCTGTGTCTCACTGAGATATTCACAGAGAGATATTTTAAAATCGTGCTGTGGTTTCTACATAATGAGTTATAGTGGGCTTTGGGATTTGATTTGTAACAATAAAATCATTATGCACACTTGTCATTTTGACAAATCAGATAAAAAAGTATGCATCAAATGAAAATAAAACAATTAAAATAAAAACTGTTCGTTAATATACATTTTTACAACTTTTACTGTTTCCTTTTTACAGTATTCTCTATCAATTAAGTTATCTTGTAAGTTAATTAAATGTTTATCTAATCCATTGATGTCACTATTATTTCAGTGACCGCTGCAGAAAGTCTTGACTCGTTCAAGAGACTTTTGCATGCACATTAAATTTCAAGTCCCATGTTTTCATTTGCACCATGTATAAATGTTATGTACAGCACAAATTATTTCCTTTCTGTTAATACTATTTTTGGACTTGTTAAGTATGCAAGCGCACACCAAACAGTGACAGGATAGTCAACCAAATGACGGTGGTCACTTAGTGGTAGAAGTAGAAATTACTTATATTATTCACACACTGTAATGCTTTTAAATTTATGTGTGTTTTGGATGTGCACTAGTGATTGGTAAATATTGATACGTATCTGTGTTTTTAGTATATGTGACTTAACATCAAGATTTCCATTATTATGGAATCGTTCACTTTTGTACCACTTCGGTATCTAAATAGAGGGTGGTAAAAGGGAGGGTCTGAACACGGAAACACGTTAAATAACAAATCGCAAAAACGTTGCACGGAAAAAAACAAGGAATAAAATCGTAAATATTAAGGAAAAAAGTACCAAAAATTATTACTCAGCCGTTCTTGGAGATCATGCAGTCATTATAAATGGACATGGCGACCCTGCACGTGGTCACCTTTTAGCGGCCGTTAGTTGCATCCGATTTATCATAGTAATACAATAGGCTATTAATAAATATCTTGGGACCAGTTAATTAGTTTATAATTTAAAACAATATTTGGGCTGACTTTGAATTAGTCCCGGTTTACTTTTTAATCAAATGCGGGACAAGCACGAGAAAAAAAGAGTACCGACACGAAACACGGAAAATAATTAAGGGAAAACACGAAGCACGCACATCGAACCAAAGACGAGAAAACGAGAAATAAAACGTCGAAACACGGAAACACGTGAAATAAAAAGGCCGAAAACGTTGCACGAAATAACCCTTTACCACCCTCTAAATAGGCCATACTAGATGTCGACACCTCATATTAGAACTTAAGTAGATGGTCAATTTCGTTTGCAAGGTTAAAGAAATCTTCAACTTGCTCTAATTTGCCTGTGAAGACCATAAAACCGTCATCCCTATTGACAGTGTAATTTGGTGTTTTCTCTCCATTGGAACTTATCTGAGATTTTAATGAATAGGGCAGACAGATGCAGATCTGTGCATGTTGGTGACAATGGGCGCTCCTATAATGTGTTTGTATAACGGTCCATTAAACTCAAATTCATTGTTTCTAAGAATTAATTTAACAAATGCAGTTAAATCTATTTTGTTGAAAATCTTTAAAGTATATTCGACTGTGTGTCAATAAATTCTAATGCATTGATAACAGTTTCTTCTAAATTATCAATGATCATATTTGTGTACATTGACGTACAATATTAGCAATAAGAATGCATACTTTTTTACCTCGTTTGACTCTATTTTATTAATGAAATTTTTTGTATCTTGAATGTAAAAGTTATGCCTCTTCAATAATTGGATGTTGGATGTGTACTTATTGATAATTTAGTCTTAGATGCATGATTTTTTTAAATTATTTGTTAGTGGCTCTGAACTAGCTGTCAGTAACTGCGAGTACTCTCAGATCTGTACTAAGTGTCTATTTGTTGTTGGGATATACAAGTACCCGGTCACGTCCACTCTGTGTAGTATTTCTGTTTGTATCCATCTGATGAGTTAAGCCTTTTTCTTTGTATCCATCTGATGAGTTAAGCCTTTTTCAACAGATTTTATAGTTCGTTCTTATGTTGTACTGTTACACCACTGTCCCAGGTTAGGGGGAGGGTTGGGATCCCGCTAACATGTTTAACCCCGCCACATTCTGTATGTATGTGCCTGTCCCAAGTCAGGAGCCTGTAATTCAGTGGTTGTCGTTTGTTGATGTGTTACATATTTGTTTTTCGTTCATTTTTGTACATAAATTAGGCCGTTAGGTTTCTCGTTTGGATTGTTTTACATTTGTCATTTCGGGGCCTTTTATAGCGGACTTATGCGGTATGGGCTTTGCTCATTGTTGAAGGCCGTACGGTGACCTATAGTTGTTAATTTCTGTGTCATTTGGTCTCTTGTGGAGAGTTGTCTCGTTGGCAATCATACCACATCTTTTTTTTTTATATTTATAATTAGATCAAGTAAGTATCTCTCGCGGGAGAGTTACACTTATTGATGATTGGTCGGTAACGAACATTATATAATGTGTCCTGCTAGCTGACCAGTTCGCAATGCCTCATTACTTATTTCTAGATTAATTTTATGAATTTTTGGAAGAAGGTACATGTGTCCTCCATGTTTTTAATTATTATTATTCTTTAAGAAATTATACGTCTGGTAATCTTTTTTTTTCTCTCCTTGCTTTATATTTAACACTTCTCTCAACATGCCAAAACTGTAATGATTTACAATAAAAAGAAAATATTATCCTCTACACACATGGCCAAGATAACACTGATATATAATTTCTTATTCAGTTGAATTAATAATTAGAATAAAAAAGTTCTAAGGTTCACGGATTGTCTTTTTTTTTTTTAAAAAGCAACTTGTATTTATATTTAAGACTTATTACTGATTATTTTTGCATTGTTGCACGGTTAACATAAAGGTATAGACAGATTATATTTTTTTCAGTGTAAAGAACCAATTCGTTGCTCAATTATGAAGGTAAATCCAGAAAAGCGCTTCGGACGCATGAAATTTATAATGTGTTGTTTTCATTTTTTTTTAAATAAGTTTGAATACTTTTTTCGTGTTATTTTATTTCCAACCATACATGATAGAATTACGGAAAATGCTCATATGTGCCAACATTTAATCATGTTAATGTTTGAAAATGATATTATCACGGGTATTTTTTATAACTGAGTTTTACTTATCGGGATGTTTTTGACAACTTTCTTATCGGTATTTCATTGACAACTAATAATAAAATAACATTTATTAAGTTTTAGGCGTCTGAAGCAATTTTCTGGATGAATTTACAGTTAAAAACGTCCAAACACAAAAAATGTGAAAGTAAAGGATGTATAAGCACCTGGAAACTTGAGGAGCTTTATGACCAAAATGGACCTAACAAAAATATTAAAATTCATTTCGGACAATTTTGCCTGAAAGAGTTGGAACCTAAGTTTTAAAAATAATATATTTGTTTACCCACGGCGAATTTAAGAAAAGGCATGTTATAAATTGTGTCATTACCTTAACACTGACTACTGACCTGATGATTCCCTCGGGGACTAACAGTTTACAGCAGTGGTATTGACCCAGCTCTAGTTAACACAAGAATTTCGTGCGTTCGATGCGATTTCCGGATTTACCTTCACCAGGAACACTCAAAGTACAAATACCCGGAAACGTATAAGGAGCATTATGACCACAGGGGACCAAGGATATAATAGTCAAATTTATCCAAGGTCAACTTTGTCTGAGGAAGTTGGAATCTTAGTTTTAAAATAATAACTAAAAGCATGTTACTTATATTGTTTAAGTTACTAACAGTCCACCTTACTTTAGATTTATCACATGACCACTTTACTTCCTCTTTATTGTTTATACATTGCATATGTGTCATTTATTGGTGAGTGGTTATTTGATACCTTTAAGATCCTTTAAGAGAAAATTTGTACAAACACAATCGTAATCGTAACCAATGTTTCATTACACACTTACGAGAATTTCTTTGGTAAACTTAAGAAGTCAATTCCGGTCCTAATTCTGATAATATTTCCAGACCAAGGATTTGTATAGTATTACTATACAAATCCTTATCCAGACTATTCCACCAGGCACCAACCCTTTAAGTGTCTTTTTTTCCTTACCTGTTTCGGGTCTTTATACACTGTATAGTTCAAGCTTTCGAAAAGATACTTACAATTTTTTTAAATGTCACAGACATAAGGGATCGTGTAAAATAGCATAAACTGAATGCATGTTATACAATATGTGTAGCTTTTTTAAAAAACTTGTCTTTCTTGCTTATAATGTTGCGTTTCAAGAAAATCAAAAAAAAAATTAAAAAAAAAAACAAACATTTACGGACCGACCATTTAGCTTCAAAATGGGGGTATGTTTTTTTCTGAGTAAGAAAATTATTTAGTTTTTCAGCGCTATCACCCACATATTTTTTTCGAAATTAGCACTATTATATACGGTATTAGGAAAAACAGGAATCAGAACATTATTTTGTCATCTGCCTGACCACAATATATTTTTTTCTCATAAAATTGGGGATCAGAATATTTTTTAGGAAAAAACCATAACCCCCCTTTTGAAGTTAAATGGTCAATCCCTTATAGTGTACTGATATAATGTATGAATAGTAATATACTGGAATTGTTTGAAAAAAAAAATATAATTATTTACGCCAACGTAAATACTTTAATAAAAAAGATAGGATATATGTCGGTGAAACAAAAATTTCAAATCTAATTGAAATTTAAAATGCCCATGAACTCACTGATCATGCAAGAGTGATTCTATTCATAAAAAGTGTCCGTGTAACAACTAAAACATTTCCGTGTATCATCAAAAAAGTGTCCGTGTAACACCCGACAGGGGGTACTCTCTCCCACCTCCAACACCCCACCTCCTACCTCCCACCTCCCATCCTGTTACGTCAATTTTTCTCCCACTTTTTAATTGTACCTATGAAATGTACAAGTTGTAGACTAGTCTGGTAGATATACAAATTGCTAGCACCATTATTGGCATTTAAGTAAGTAGAGGTATAAAAATATCATGTATCTAAGACGTAAATATCAATCAGTACACATCCAACATCCAATTGATTTATCGTAAAAACGTCATTAACAGTCAGAGAGAAACACGACCTTGTGTAATACCAACATATAGGTATCGACAGACTGTAGTATCCCATTAAGTACCTGGAAAATTTGTTAAGGAGACTACGGAATATGACCTCTACATATACTTGATTTATAATACTCCATTCCGCATGTTCCGTGTGTTTCATAGTAAAACATTATGTGTTTGATTATGCAGAAATAGTGTTAGGAATGCGAATACATCATTCACATAACGGTCAACTTCTTAACAATTGCTATAATTGTGTAGACTAGTTGACCGTCCATGTAATGTAGTTGAAATAAATCTTGTATACTTTTTTTTAATGCAAAGATGTCTCAACTTTAATTTTTTCTCATTTTAAAAAGAACTCACATATTCCAGAGTTTAGTAGTCTGTCGAGTACTTGTTTAGCATTATTTATAAACATAAGAAGATGTGGCATGATTGGCAATGCGACAGCTATCAACCAGAGTACAAATGACGTAGATGTAAGCAACTACAATCAGTGGCATAAGAGTGAAAAGTGTGGGCAGTGGAGGCTTGTGAGAGTGACAGGCAAAAATAAAAAAAGTTTTTCTATAATCTAGGAATTATTCACTGTCCTCTTTCGTGTTCAGTATTTTTTCCCCAAAAAAGTGTTAGGAGGAAACTGCTCCCTTGTCCACAGCTTCTACTCCAGTGACTATGTTGAAGTAGTGTAAAGGTCACCGTACGGCCTTCAACACTTTACGATGATCAAAATCAATATCGTATACTCGGCTATTTAAAAAGGTCCCAACATAAAAAAATGTGAAACTGTTCAACGAGATAACCAATGGCCTGATTAATGCCAAAACCAATTAACAATTAACGAAAATCTTCTGAAAGGAAATATGGCCATACAAAATCGGCTCTGATTAATTTTACATAGAAACTATTTTTTTCTCCAACATTCTTCTCTCCCATCTCCCACCCCATTTCTCCCACCTCCCAACCCCTTGCCACCCATCTCCCACCAACTCTTCTCCCACCTCCCACCTCACCTTTTAGCTGTCCACCCCTCTTCTATAGCTCTGCTGGGGGCAAAGTCGTACAATGTTTTTTTTTTAAATTGATCTCTTTTGACATTTTCAATTAAGGCCTAAAAATAAGATGAGTAGTCGTTATTTATTGCAGACACTACACGAATCCGGATAGGGGGTGACGCTGGGGTTTTGTTACCCCACCCTTTTCATATAATTTAGATTTTTAAAATGTATACCTTTTCAAATATTGCGTAGGTTAAAATGTTACCTTTTCCCATATTGTTTGGGTTTCATGTGGTGTGGAATACCAAAGTGTCAAAAGAGAGAAAACTGGCTGATAAAATCACAGCCGGGAACACCATGAAAGAAGACAGACGAAGAAGTCACGGGAACTTTATTGAGGACCTTATCATATATTTCTGATAGTTTCCCGACCTATTCACATATTTTCAAGTTTGAAAAGGTGACCTTTTCCAGCGGCACGTCCTATCACCTTGTGTATAGGAAGTGCGATTGCACTCCAAATAAAAGTTGGTTTCTCTTAGTTTGATTTTTCGTCTATTTATGCAAACCACGTGGCTTTTAGCCATTTTTAAAAATATTTTTGAATTAGATTCATATTTAGATTCCTATTTTCGGTGACATGGTATTGTGTATAGCTAAACTGAAAAAAGTAGAATCACAAAAATACTGAACTCCGAGGAAAATTCAATCATAGGTTTGAACGTTGTTTTCAATTTAGACTTATATATATAAACAAGTCTAAATTGAAAACAACGTTCAAACCTATGATTGCGTTGGATAAAAACCGCAATTTTTATACGTGTGCATGCAAAACAAATTTCTTGGCAGAGGGGTTTAAATACAACACAAACAACATTTTCCAAAAGACCAAAAAAGTGAAAAAGTATATTTTAACAAAACGCATTTGACTAGCAGGTCGAACAACAGATGTTCTTAAACTCTGCTGACTGCCATTGGCGATTGCCAAATAAAATATATAAATATAACAGAAACAGAAAATCGACATCATAAACATTTTAAGAAGAAAATCAGTTATTATTAAACAGTAAAAAGATGGTTTTAATTTCAACTCTAGTTTCTGGCTGCTAGAAAAGATTGCTACAAATGAACATAAATGCTATTTTGTTATTTTGGGGCGAGGGGTCATAAAACAGAATGAAAAACTAATTTGAGAATTTACGTATTGGTTATACTGAATAAAAAATATTTTTACAGGGCTTTTCGTACAAGAAATGGCTTCCAATATTTCCATTTGTGGCATCTGTGACCTCCGACATCTTTCAAATCCATCTACACACTGGTGCCAAGACTGTGACGAAGCTCTCTGTTCAGAATGCAAAGAACATCATACTTTATTAAAAGCAACACGTGGGCATACAACTATTCCAATTAATGATTATCAAAAATTACCTGCCTTCATAACCGATATTAAACAATACTGTGACATACACAATAAAACATATCAAAATTATTGTCAGAAGCATGAATGTCCGATTTGCTACAAGTGTATTCAAGACCATGCATGCCAAATGTACAGAAAGTATTTTACCCCTCGAGACGGTTATAAAGCACTCAAAGACGTCTCAGATTTTTCAGGATTTGAATCAGAGTGTTTCAGATTTACAATCAAACATCACGCACATGAGGTCAGCCCGTGAAGATAATTTGGCTAAACTAGCAGATCAGTGCAAATCAGCAGTCAAGAAAATTCGAGAGTTAAGAATTAAAGTGAACCATCATCTTGATGCTGTTGAGAAGAGCCTGTTCACACAGTTTCAGGACGCCGAGAGTAAATGCAGTCAACAAATTAAAGAAGTCATTAAAAGTCTTAATGAAGTAGAATCGGAAATTTCAAATTTTGATAACATATTACAAGGTATAAAGCAACATGCTTCACAACTCCAAGTTTATCTGGCGACCAGAGAAATCGAAAAGCAAGTCTCAGAAAAAGAAAAACGATTGACATCCATGATGGAAAACACACATTTTGATGATTTTACAGTCAGTTTGGAGATAGAAACACAGATAAGAAATATTCTATCCGATGTGAACGTGTCTGGAATAGTATCTGTGGAAACAGTACCAACCAATGAAAAATTAATCAACAGGAAATCAAGACAAGCTCAAATAATTACAACTGTTGTCAAGTCCTTCGACAATATCAAGTTAAAGCAAGTAAACATGTTTGATTCTGGTAGTAAACAAGTTACCGGATGTATCATACTCCCAGACGGACGAATGGCATTTACTGAATACAAATACAAGCGATCGTCTTTCAGAAAGGCAGACGGAAGTCCTGATTTCGAAATTCAAATGAAAGAAAGTAGTGTATTTGATTTAACTATAGTCGACATTCGGACTGTTGCTGTAAGTTCTGGTTGGCATAGTATTGACGATAAAGCATGCATTAAGATGATTGACATAAATTCGGGAGAAAAGACCAAAACGATAGCTACGAAGTCAAGGGGCTATGGAATTGTTTGTGTTGATGACAATTTGGTATATTTGGGGTATAGTCCAAACGGAATATATAAAATTGACTTAAACACCAACGTAGAGAGTGTTATTAGCAAAGCTATTAATCTTTGTCGAGGATCATATATAACTAATTTGAATAATCAATTCTACGTGACGAACGAACGATGTTGCACTGTTACTAGCTTTGATACCAAAGGCAACGTTATCTGGGATTACAAGGACAATGTAAATATGATAAAACCAAAAGGGATTTCTGTTGATAACAGTGGAAATGTGTTTGTTGCATCTGCCGGTTCAAACAATGTGACGCTGATATCACCAGACGGAAGCAGTGCAAAACAAATACTCGACAATCAAGATGGACTAGGAGAACCCTGTGCACTGCATTACGACTGTTCTACCAATCGTCTCCTTGTGACTAATTGCATGGGCACTGCATTTCTGTTTGAAGCGATATAAAGGTTCACCAATCAGGTACAAATACACGGATACTTTTTTTTTCAACTTATTTTATCTTGTTTGTAATAATTGCGAGTTAGAGTTGGAATATCTTAGAGTAGTCTGTTCAGAAAATATTTTAGATAATGAATAAAAAGACAGCTATTTCTTAACTAAAAACAGTTACAAGAAAATTGGTGAACACACAAAGTGTCTATTCTGTATGAAAAAGAGATTTTTTGGTTGTCGGAATAGAAGGATACTAGAAAATTCATACTTAAGAAACTCTAGTTTTCCGGATTTAGCTTTACTTTAGGTCCAGATTTGGCTATACTTTATTGTCCTTTTTAGTTTGATAAGCTCTTCAACGTTTGTATTTGGATAGGATTTTTTAAGTGTTCCGGGCATCACTGAGAAACATTAATTGAAATTCGCATCTGGTGCAGTATAATTTGTACTGTTGATATTATAATAAGATAACAACCATGTTAAAAAAACATAAAACGTTTAGTGGAAAAAAACCGAATGTATATCTTTATGTTTTTATTATTTATATTCGCAGCTTTACAAACTATGTGGATTAAGTTAAAAAGGATTAATGCTATTTCTGATAAGAAACACAATCAATTATGCAAATTTAACATATGAAACATTACAAAGGTAGAAAAAATCAACGGAATGGCATATAATATTATGCAAGTCCAAACTAAATGTTTGCAAGAAAATTCTCTTGGTCAATAAGGTAAAATACAGAGATCAATGTAATTTGGCAAATATATTTATACTTTATCAACACAAAACTAGGAGACAGACAAGCAAAGGTCTTGGAAAATTGTCTTATGAATATCTTGGTTGCTATGCTACATCACAGCAATGATTGCAGTTTCGTTCTTGTAAACCATGCATGTTTTTTCCTTATTCTGAAATTATTGTTTGAACTGTTTATATACATTTTAACAAGACTTTGCTGAATTGGTCCTGAGCTTTCCAAATGATTGCTAGAATCACAGTGGCAGTCTTTCAAGAAGAGAAAAACTTCTGAAATGATTTGTTTATTATTTCTTAAGCAGGTTCTTCGTTGATTATAAATAATAAGATTTATTAACATGTTTAACCCCGCCACATTCTGTATGTATGTGCCTGTCCCAAGTCAGGAGCCTGTAATTCAGTGGTTGTCGTTTGTTGATGTGTTACATATTTGTTTTTCGTTCATTTTTGTACATAAATTAGGCCGTTAGGTTTCTCGTTTGGATTGTTTTACATTTGTCATTTCGGGGCCTTTTATAGCGGACTTATGCGGTATGGGCTTTGCTCATTGTTGAAGGCCGTACGGTGACCTATAGTTGTTAATTTCTGTGTCATTAGGTGTCTTGTGGAGAGTTGTCTCGTTGGCAATCATACCACATCTTTTTTTTTTATATTTATAATTAGATCAAGTAAGTATCTCTCGCGGGAGAGTTACACTTATTGATGATTGGTCGGTAACGAACATTATATAATGTGTCCTGCTAGCTGACCAGTTCGCAATGCCTCATTACTTATTTCTAGATTAATTTTATGAATTTTTGGAAGAAGGTACATGTGTCCTCCATGTTTTTAATTATTATTATTCTTTAAGAAATTATACGTCTGGTAATCTTTTTTTTTCTCTCCTTGCTTTATATTTAACACTTCTCTCAACATGCCAAAACTGTAATGATTTACAATAAAAAGAAAATATTATCCTCTACACACATGGCCAAGATAACACTGATATATAATTTCTTATTCAGTTGAATTAATAATTAGAATAAAAAAGTTCTAAGGTTCACGGATTGTCTTTTTTTTTTTTAAAAAGCAACTTGTATTTATATTTAAGACTTATTACTGATTATTTTTGCATTGTTGCACGGTTAACATAAAGGTATAGACAGATTATATTTTTTTCAGTGTAAAGAACCAATTCGTTGCTCAATTATGAAGGTAAATCCAGAAAAGCGCTTCGGACGCATGAAATTTATAATGTGTTGTTTTCATTTTTTTTTAAATAAGTTTGAATACTTTTTTCGTGTTATTTTATTTCCAACCATACATAATAGAATTACGGAAAATGCTCATATGTGCCAACATTTAATCATGTTAATGTTTGAAAATGATATTATCACGGGTATTTTTTATAACTGAGTTTTACTTATCGGGATGTTTTTGACAACTTTCTTATCGGTATTTCATTGACAACTAATAATAAAATAACATTTATTAAGTTTTAGGCGTCTGAAGCAATTTTCTGGATGAATTTACAGTTAAAAACGTCCAAACACAAAAAATGTGAAAGTAAAGGATGTATAAGCACCTGGAAACTTGAGGAGCTTTATGACCAAAATGGACCTAACAAAAATATTAAAATTCATTTCGGACAATTTTGCCTGAAAGAGTTGGAACCTAAGTTTTAAAAATAATATATTTGTTTACCCACGGCGAATTTAAGAAAAGGCATGTTATAAATTGTGTCATTACCTTAACACTGACTACTGACCTGATGATTCCCTCGGGGACTAACAGTTTACAGCAGTGGTATTGACCCAGCTCTAGTTAACACAAGAATTTCGTGCGTTCGATGCGATTTCCGGATTTACCTTCACCAGGAACACTCAAAGTACAAATACCCGGAAACGTATAAGGAGCATTATGACCACAGGGGACCAAGGATATAATAGTCAAATTTATCCAAGGTCAACTTTGTCTGAGGAAGTTGGAATCTTAGTTTTAAAATAATAACTAAAAGCATGTTACTTATATTGTTTAAGTTACTAACAGTCCACCTTACTTTAGATTTATCACATGACCACTTTACTTCCTCTTTATTGTTTATACATTGCATATGTGTCATTTATTGGTGAGTGGTTATTTGATACCTTTAAGATCCTTTAAGAGAAAATTTGTACAAACACAATCGTAATCGTAACCAATGTTTCATTACACACTTACGAGAATTTCTTTGGTAAACTTAAGAAGTCAATTCCGGTCCTAATTCTGATAATATTTCCAGACCAAGGATTTGTATAGTATTACTATACAAATCCTTATCCAGACTATTCCACCAGGCACCAACCCTTTAAGTGTCTTTTTTTCCTTACCTGTTTCGGGTCTTTATACACTGTATAGTTCAAGCTTTCGAAAAGATACTTACAATTTTTTTAAATGTCACAGACATAAGGGATCGTGTAAAATAGCATAAACTGAATGCATGTTATACAATATGTGTAGCTTTTTTAAAAAACTTGTCTTTCTTGCTTATAATGTTGCGTTTCAAGAAAATCAAAAAAAAAAATTAAAAAAAAAAACAAACATTTACGGACCGACCATTTAGCTTCAAAATGGGGGTATGTTTTTTTCTGAGTAAGAAAATTATTTAGTTTTTCAGCGCTATCACCCACATATTTTTTTCGAAATTAGCACTATTATATACGGTATTAGGAAAAACAGGAATCAGAACATTATTTTGTCATCTGCCTGACCACAATATATTTTTTTCTCATAAAATTGGGGATCAGAATATTTTTTAGGAAAAAACCATAACCCCCCTTTTGAAGTTAAATGGTCAATCCCTTATAGTGTACTGATATAATGTATGAATAGTAATATACTGGAATTGTTTGAAAAAAAAAATATAATTATTTACGCCAACGTAAATACTTTAATAAAAAAGATAGGATATATGTCGGTGAAACAAAAATTTCAAATCTAATTGAAATTTAAAATGCCCATGAACTCACTGATCATGCAAGAGTGATTCTATTCATAAAAAGTGTCCGTGTAACAGCTAAAACATTTCCGTGTATCATCAAAAAAGTGTCCGTGTAACACCCGACAGGGGGTACTCTCTCCCACCTCCAACACCCCACCTCCTACCTCCCACCTCCCATCCTGTTACGTCAATTTTTCTCCCACTTTTTAATTGTACCTATGAAATGTACAAGTTGTAGACTAGTCTGGTAGATATACAAATTGCTAGCACCATTATTGGCATTTAAGTAAGTAGAGGTATAAAAATATCATGTATCTAAGACGTAAATATCAATCAGTACACATCCAACATCCAATTGATTTATCGTAAAAACGTCATTAACAGTCAGAGAGAAACACGACCTTGTGTAATACCAACATATAGGTATCGACAGACTGTAGTATCCCATTAAGTACCTGGAAAATTTGTTAAGGAGACTACGGAATATGACCTCTACATATACTTGATTTATAATACTCCATTCCGCATGTTCCGTGTGTTTCATAGTAAAACATTATGTGTTTGATTATGCAGAAATAGTGTTAGGAATGCGAATACATCATTCACATAACGGTCAACTTCTTAACAATTGCTATAATTGTGTAGACTAGTTGACCGTCCATGTAATGTAGTTGAAATAAATCTTGTATACTTTTTTTTAATGCAAAGATGTCTCAACTTTAATTTTTTCTCATTTTAAAAAGAACTCACATATTCCAGAGTTTAGTAGTCTGTCGAGTACTTGTTTAGCATTATTTATAAACATAAGAAGATGTGGCATGATTGGCAATGCGACAGCTATCAACCAGAGTACAAATGACGTAGATGTAAGCAACTACAATCAGTGGCATAAGAGTGAAAAGTGTGGGCAGTGGAGGCTTGTGAGAGTGACAGGCAAAAATAAAAAAAGTTTTTCTATAATCTAGGAATTATTCACTGTCCTCTTTCGTGTTCAGTATTTTTTCCCCAAAAAAGTGTTAGGAGGAAACTGCTCCCTTGCCCACAGCTTCTACTCCAGTGACTATGTTGAAGTAGTGTAAAGGTCACCGTACGGCCTTCAACACTTTACGATGATCAAAATCAATATCGTATACTCGGCTATTTAAAAAGGTCCCAACATAAAAAAATGTGAAACTGTTCAACGAGATAACCAATGGCCTGATTAATGCCAAAACCAATTAACAATTAACGAAAATCTTCTGAAAGGAAATATGGCCATACAAAATCGGCTCTGATTAATTTTACATAGAAACTATTTTTTTCTCCAACATCTTCTCTCCCATCTCCCACCCCATTTCTCCCACCT